ATCCAGTCATGCTTCATCTGCCAATGCCAGGAGAAGCTGGACACACAGACGATATCTAATTGGGAGGACAGAACTACTTATCTTATTGTTCTTTTGACTCAACGGTCTTGAACAGATATTGGGATAGAACTAGAAGTAGTGGGTCGGGTTGGTTTGTACAGTTTTGAAAGGGGCTATTTCTCAGAGGTAGAGTGATTTCTTTTTCCTATTTTTAGAGCCTATCTTTTTTGCTGAAACTCATGGAAGATTACAAAATAAAAAAACACTACAATAAAAACTCCATAAGACATAAAAATAAAGCATATGTTTTGTGTTCAGAAGGTTCCAGATTCAGTCCATAGCATTTCTAACTAGGGATTCTCCAGTAGCTGAAGTTGCAAAAGATATTTCTTTGCTTGAGATCTTGAGAAGCTGTTGCTAAGCTCAGAGGTCTGACACCAGGATAAGGCAGTTTCATGAGCTCAATATGAAAAACCCTTTAGAAACCGTTAATGTTATTGTTTAAATGACAGGACAACTGATGCAGGTTAAACTTTAGGGAAAGCTTAACTGCAGGTGGGCCTTAACATTAGCTAAAGCTGTCTCTGGAGATTTTAGTGTGTCTTCTCTCTAGAATAGCTGTCTTTGGAGATTTTAGTGTGTCTTCTCTCTAGAATGTCTTCAAAAAATGCTAAGTCTGTAGTTCAAATGTGTGAAAACCTTGCTCACAACTTAGAACTTGGTTTAGTGCTTACATGGGTTGTTTGCTTTTTTCATAACTCTTCAGGGGGGAAAGCTTTGGGTTACTGAGACTCTAAGGATTGTCTGGTACACATTTTTGGCATAGACATGCACCCTGTTGGTTAGCTTAAAGGCAGAATTAATCCTCATCTTCTTAAATTAGTGCCAGCTGTTGTATAGACAGGAATACTTGCGGGAAGGAAATTCTTGACTATACCAAACTAAAATATGCCTTGGCTGTACTTCAAGGAGTTCACTGACTGTGGAAAGATTCTGATTTCCATTTTGTAACTAGCTTTTCCAGTTACCTTTCTGAACAGTAATAGCCACATCATGCCTAACTTCTTAGAAAACCTTTTTAAAAAAAAAATAGGTAGCCATGTATACAGCAAAACCTAGAACCACAAGCTATGGAATAACTTTAATTGCAGATTTTTCATGATTTCTATTTTAAAACAACTAGGAAGCTTGTTGGGTAAAATGAGGGAGAGCGGAGGGGAGGTGAAATAACATTCCCAAACTTGGAAAAATTTGCTCTTTATCTACATTCCACATTTGTGCCTCACCGTGAAACAGGAACATGCAGGGCAATTGAAACAAGCACCTAAAACAACATAAATAGAAGAGAATCAGCAAACCTTTAAAGTGTGGGAGTAATTTGGAGTGGCGGATGAGATGCCCGTTGCTTTTGGAGGCTGAAAAGGAAAGAATGGTGGGGAGTTAAGTTTGTTTATATAAATGATGAAATTATTGTTTTACTTCTCCATACCCCCCTTTTGTCTTATTTGTAACTTTTTTCATGTCCTCAAGGTATTAATGTAAATTCAGGATGACTTCTTAAAATGTTACCTTTGTATCTAGTCAATAATATTTTTTTTGGTTCATGTGCTGCAAGTGGCTTTATTTCAAGGGGAAAGAGGAAGAACTGATGAAAAAGTGTATAGATTCTAGAAATTTCACTCATAACGAGATAAAGTATTGTTCCATACCATGTTTATTGTGGTTGGACTAAATTTCTTCTTGCTTATTTTATCTATTTTAAAACTGCCAGCAGTGTGCTTTCTCTATTAGATGAGGGCAGAAGATGGACTGAAATCCATCAGCAGTAGGGTATTAAGTAATTTCTGGGAAGGAAGTCTTGCAAGACAGAGGTGGGCTGACCTCAGTGGTGTGCTTTTTAAAGGGCTGGTTTCTCTCTTAGGGTGCAGTCTAACTTGCGTGCAAGTAAATATACATCTTGTGCTTATTTTTGGCAGCACACTATTGAAAAGCACCCACGGCTACTTTTCTCTGATAATCAGGATTGGGTTCTGTAGCCATTTGTTTATGCTTGTAATGCAGAACCCCTATCTTTGTCATGTCTGAAACTGCCCTTGGTTAGGGTTGGGAAGGCTCAGAGCATTATAGCTTCTAGAACGAAGCACACTAAACGCTAAATGTCAAACTGCAGAAATGTTGTTTGAAAGGTTCATAAAGGAAAAAAAGGTGGTGGAACAAAAAGGAAAATTGGACTGAGCTACCATTCCTGTGATCTGAAATGGGCAGTGGGAGCCTGATTCTTTCCTCCCAGGGGCATCAAAGAGGAATTTCAGACAGACGATATAATCCGGAAGAGGAACGGTTCACAAACGGTTTCTCGTCTGTCATTTCAGACAGAACCGTTAAAGCACACTAAACGTTAAATGTCAAACTGTAGAAATGTTGTTTGAAAGATTCATAAAGGGAAAAAAGGTGGTGGAACAAAAAGGAAGATTGGATTGTGCTACCATTCCTGTGATCTGAAATGGGCAGCGGGAGCCTGATTCTTTCCTCCCAGGGGCAACACTGTCTTCTAAGGAAGACCAGCCTGGCCCACACTAGTGGCCAGAGAAAGAGTAGCCGCAGGAAGCTTGCTCTTGGCAGAAGAAAGAGTCCTCCATTTAAGTGCCAGGTGCCCCTATAGCTGCAGTCCCTGCACAAGGGCAGTCTGGCTTCTGCCACAGGTCAGGAGGACTCCTTGACAGGATGAATTTTAAAAATTTGATTGTGTAATAATCCATCTTGAGGATTGTATGATTGAAAGGCAGACCATGGATCTTTAAAATACATAACACAGAAGATTTTATTTTTCCCCATTCCCCTGTTCATGAAAAATTAACTGATGTAAACATTAGTGTTGAAAAGGTGTGTGTGTGTGGGGGGTCCCCTTAGCTGACACCAGGCCACTGTTTTTCTAAAACTTTGCAAATACTTGGTTTTTAGTGTTGCGCTTGCAAACTCTTGTCCTGAAGACTGCCAATGGGCAGCTCCAGGGAAGAGACAATGTGCTATCCAGAAAACATTGAAACAGAATTAATAAGAGCTCAAGGCAGTACTAGATGTGCAAAAGGCAACATCTGTGACTCTTTGTGCCTATGCTAATGTTGAGGTGGGAGGGCTGTTTGCACAATTTTTTTTTTTTGGGGGGGGAAAAACATGTTTAACCCCTGAGCCAGTGAGCAAGGCCTTTGGATCCATATTTAGGGGACAGTGGGGAAAGGATGAAGCGTGCTGCCTTCCATTCAAGGACTAGTGTGGGAGCGACAGGGGAAGAGAGGCTTTTGATTTTAATATTTTTGTTGTTCAGTCGCACAGTCGAGTCCAACTCTTTGCGACCCCATGGACCAGTTCACACCAGGTCTTCCTATCTTCTGCCGTCCTCTGAAAGGATTCCAGGAGCACTCCCAGGCTCCTAACCACCGGCGCAGACACCAATGGTACCCCATCGAAGGCCGGGAGCGAAGTGCCAGGTGCCCCTATATCTGCAGTCCCTGCACAAGGGCGGTCTGGCTTCTGCCACAGGTCAGGACTCCTTAACAGGATGAATTTTAAAATTTGATTGTGTAATCCATCTTGAGGATTGTATGATTGAAAGGCAGGCCATGGATCTTTAAAATACATAACACAGAAGATTTTATTTTTTCCCATTCCCCTGTTCATGAAAAATTAACTGATGTAACCATTAGTGACATTAGTGTTGAAAAGGTGTGTGTGTGTGGGGGGTCCCCTTAGCTGACACCAGGCCACTGTTTTTCTAAAACTTTGCAAATACTTGGTTTTTTGTGCTGAGCTTGCAAACTCTTGTCCTGAAGACTGCCAATGGGCAGCTCCAGGGGAGAGACAGTGTGCTATCCAGAAAACATTGAAGCAGAATTAATAAGAGTACTAGATGTGCAAAAGGTAACATCTGTGACTCTTTGTGCCTATGCTAATGTTAGGCGGGAGGGCTGTTTGCATAATTTTTTTTTTGGGGGGAATACATGCTTAACCCCTGAGCCAGTGAGAGAGGCCTTTGGATCCATTTTTAGGG